ACAAACTGAAAGATGAAGCAGGAATAAATGTTTCGGTTTATTCACAGCTTTTCACTGCCCCCCAGTGCTGTGACAGGAACCTGCATACTGGCACTCAGTGCTTCTGTATTGCTCTTAAAAGTTTTTGAGTTATTGAATTTCCCTTCTGGGATGAATAAAGTATTTTTCATTTCATTTTCATTTCATTCATTTCAAAAGCTGAATTTAACTCTTTTTTTTTTTTCAGCATTTGTCTTGAATTAATATTCACATTTAACTAAAATGTCTTTATTCAAAGAAAAATGACCTAAATAGGTAACATTTATACATGTGTTAAATATGAAAAAACAAACATCCAGTGATTCTCAGTCTTTGTGGCTTGAGACTGAGACTCTTTAAAACTAACAAATATAAACTCCATCATATTGTAGTTTATAGGGCTAGAGTGAATATCAGCATTTTTTCCTTTTGAGATTGTTTCATTTTTCATTTAATAAAGTATATTTCACAAGGAAAACATTCAATATGTTGATTATCTTCTACCATTTGATCGTTTGTGTCATTAAATTGTCACCTTACTATAATCTTAATAAGAGAAACTCACATTGCCAACAGCAGAGGGAGATTTTATGAACACAGTAAGCACAAATCAAACCACTAGATGTCAGTGTAGGTTCACAGTTAGGGCACACACAACTGGAGCACTTTGCCTTTCTACTAAACCCCTTAAATACAATGATGAAGATTGTATAACATGTAACATAAGTTAGCGTTCTCTGAAATTATGTGTGAGAAAATGTTTTATTTTGGTCATAAAAAAAAATCCACACTTCTGTGAAGCCTGCTGTCACTTATGGAATATAACAGATTCAATATATAAAAATGTATTTGCTTAAAAATCATGTGTGATGTGTTGGTAATTTAAAAAAAAAAAAAAAAGTAAATATTGGTCAGCTTTGTGTCAGCGTGCTCTTCGGAGGAGTAGGGCTCAGCTGAGTCTTCACTTGGAGTACAGTGAATATTTTTATAGGCACAAATGGTGCAACTGTGTTGTGGTTTGTATACTCTTTTAGCATTAACAGCATGTGGATAAAACTGTAGTGGCTTTTTATAATGTCTGCCTTATGAGGGAACCTTAATTTACTACTTTACAGCAAATGTTTACATTTCATTTTGATAATAATCACACTGTGGGCGAATTTGGCTGAATGTGCCTTAATCTCAAACGGCTAAGCAGTCTGTTACAATTCATTAATTTCCATTGAACCGAGGTAATAGCAGAAATATCCAAGAATTAAATCCCAAAGTCTCAGCTGATTAAAACATAACTCTTAAATAAACCATCCCTTTCGGAAAAACACCAACACTTAAAAATACACCTATAAGTAGCGATGAGGGATCCGAGCAGTTTATCAGGGCGCAGTCGCTATGGCAACTTGATCTGTTTATGTTAAAAACATGACTGAATATTGCGTGGATGTGATGCTATAGGTTAGTCTGTGCCATTTGAGGCTCTGCTATCTCACATTTTGTTCAGAGTTGACATATTTATTGTTTGACCCAAAATTAAGTCCTGTTAAATGTTTGGGCTGAATTTAGAAAATTTTACGTGTTTACAGACCTGGACATTTTTTAAATTTTATCCTCAAAAACAACTTCTCTGAATTGCCAATTTGTAGGTTCAATATCTGCAGAAATACAACTAGTAAATACATTTAGCGAGGATGCAGACAAAACTGTTTCCAGCAAATACAAACCATTGCAAGGTTCCAGCAGAGGTCACCGGGGGGGATGGGAATTAGGGAGTGCACAAAATTCCTGTACATGTGTATAAGTTTGGATGTATCCATATCTCCTAGTAAATAAAATGTCTTTAGTCTACATTTCACTAACTTTTTAGGTCTTTAAATGAGTAGAATTTGATATGTGGTTTTGTAAGCCAAGGTTCCAGTTTGTTGCTATATTAAGTGTCCTCCATCTGATGATGTCTGTCGGGTGCCAGTAGTACATGTTCTGTCACCAGAACCAAATTCAAGGAAGGGAAGACAACACAAACTGGACATCTGAAATTGAAATGATTTTTGAGATTTTTTTAAATGAAAATCTTTGTTTTATCTTGTTGCTTTTGGTGATTTTACTAATGAAATCCTGTTTCTCCTGTCTTACTGTTACAGCACTTGTCATGATGTGTTTCTATAAACATGAGATATATTATGTGTGTTGAATTATCATCAGTTTCTCTTTTCCGTTTTCATTTCGAGTGCATATATGGGAATATAATTCCAATTTAAGGCAACATAGAGGTAACTTTGCACATAACACATACAACAATATATAGACCCAATACACACCCATTTTATGGTCCTACACATGAGTCCAACTCACCAAAGACTGTAGTTTTAGTCATTAAAATGGATACATCCGCATATATGCATATACTTTAACTTTCCCAAAAACTTGTTTCAAACTGTTGCACCTTTTTCTATTCTCAACAGCAAATAATTAAAATTGTGACTGTGGGAGTTATATTCCTAAGGATATTAAACCTTTAAAATAGCTTGACAGGTAAAATGTTTCAAAATTGCAAAAATTCCCAGGTCTGATGAAATTCTCAAAATGTATCCAAAACATTTAGCTAAACGTAGTTTTGGATTCCAAATAACAAATAAGTAAACTCTGAATAAAAATCTGAGACAGAGGAGCAGTATATTTCCTAAATTCTGTCGGATTGAATGTACACTGAACTATATGTGAACTATCTGTATGAAATCAGTCACATTGTGCCTTGGGCCATTATGCGTAAACAAAAGCGGCATGTTGCTACCACATGATGCAAATCACAGGACAGTATTGGCTGGCAATGACACACTGCTCGCGGTGCCTGTGCACAAGTGATTTTCACGGTTTCTTTCTGGTGTTACTGCTCATGCACACTGATGGTATTTATTATATGTTACCTACATGTAGAAAACAACTAAGTGGACCGATCTAAGTAGTAAACCCAAAATCAATAATTTATCAAGTGTTAACGTAATCCAGGATGTATCTTGGATATAACCCAAGGCGCAATGTGACTGTTTTCATGCAGATGGATCACATACGAAGTCACGTCCTGTTCTGGTGGTTTTCATGCTTTGCACAACGTGATAAACTTTGAGTTCAGGTTCTGCAAGATGATAGATACCAAAACTCCCAACTTTAGTAGTATAGATATTATATTATATTATTTTTATATAACTCACCTGTTTCAATTATATTAAAGATTGAAGTTATGTATAATTAAGGAAGTGGCTGTTTGAATGACAGATGGTTGCTGTCGTGGAGACGTTTGCATGGCCTGCTTGATATATAACCTCCAAATCACACCTGCAGATAATTTAAATATTAACCAATCACCTTGCATTATCAGTTGTAATGTGTTTATATAAAGACAGAATGCTATCTTGCAGTTGCTCCATGCTGTGCACATTGTGAAATGCAGCCCCTCCAAATATACTGTGGTGCAATGCTCACACATGCAGCACTGACATCCACAGTTTGAAAGGCCAAAGGTGAGCATCATTTTGATATTAAGCGCTATGGACCAAAACACTTACTTGAAAATCAAAACAAAGGTGAACTTTAAAGCTGCATTAATTGATTCTTGGCCTTTACGGGGCAGGAATACTCATCACACATGCATGGGTACAGTTTTACCAGCTCATGCATGTTCAGATGCAGGCATGGAGCTGTATGACTAGTCATATACGTTTGTGTTTCTGTCCAATATTTCCTCTTTTGGCTCTGGCTTAGTCTCTAAAAGCTCCAGCTCCTGGATGGTAACTGAATGTTTTTCTAGGAAGCACTTCAGACGTTTGTGAAAATGTAAAAGCTGTTTCTAAAAGTATTTTCCTCTAGTATTTACAGTCCATCTTGGTCACTGAATGTACTGTATAGCCTAGTGGGATGTCCGCTGCAGCACTGTTTACTATATGCCAAAACTTACAAAACCCTAAACTAGTACTACAGATGGTCATGGATATGTTCATTTTTCAAATAAAAATGTCAAATGATTGCTATGGAGAAGGAGGCAGCATTGTGAGATGTTCATATGGATCAGACCTGTGGACCAGCTGTTGTCCACCTAATAATGGCTCCACTCTACACTGATGAAATTTGAATATACAAACTAGTCATTCGGCCACACTTTGTACTCTGCCCTGCTGTACCAAAGCAATCATATTGGCAAAATTTAACATTTTAATGAGAACAAATTATATAACCAGCATCATCATTTAAATCAATGTCATTATTACCTAACTACAGGCTTTATAGGCTTATGTTTTATCCCTCTGTTATGTGCTTTCTGCTTGTTTGGTTAACAAGCAGCAGTGGTGGTGCTCCAGCCTGGTAGCAGCTTTGCTGTCATTTATTACCTGATGTTGATGGCCAGTACAAATAGTGTCCAAGGTAATAATAAAGTTTTACAGCGCTTCCTATTACGTTAATGCTGTCACATCATCTCTTGTACTTCCCGTTTCCTAGAAAGCTCTTTACTCACATGATAGCAGACAAAAGCTCTGAGAAGGAGGGTGATATCATTGTCTGACTTCTTTATGACACAGACCAGAGCAGTTTCCAAGGTGAAAAACAGTTCAGCACAACATTATCCACACAATGCCTCATAGCAGAGAGCAAATACATCATTATCATCTCTATATCAGATAATAATGATTAAACCTGCAGATTCTGGGTATTTGCACAACTACGTGCAAACTTCACCTGGCCTTATATTTACATTTAATGTTGCATATATGTCACTAGGCTAAATGAGATACTAAAAATAGCCATGTCATAGGTTAAAACTGTCCTAATGACTGTGAAATGTTTGTTTTTTGTTGCTGCTACTGTGCTGCAAGTACATATGTGACTCCGCTTAGCAACCATTGATTCAAATAATATGTAAACCATGGTTTTGTTAAATAAGGGCAAAGATAACACATTTTCCCAATTTTTTTTAGCACACTTTATTTTTCAAATAATCTAGTTTATTTGCTGGTACGTAAAAAAAAAAAAAAAAAAAAAAAGACAACAGTGATATAAATATTACAGTATAAATTAAATTGCACATTGTTTTCATCTTTGTTTGATAAAAATGCAACAAATATATTACCGTCAAATAAATACAAATAAATACAAATACAAATTCATCAAGTACCCTACATGCCTGTTCAAAAAAAGTGTACAACTTGGACAGAGGGACATTGCACATCACAACCACAAAAGTTTGCCTGAAGGCAAAGAAAAGTGCATTTCTCACTTCTGCTGCCCTCCTGTTTGATTGTCATTCAGTCTCTTTAGTATAACTTTCTCTTTGCTGCCCAAACTCCATCTGCACTTACACCGCAGTCCACTTCAAGGCATCAGCCTTCAACGTTTCCTTTATTTTACCTTTCTCTTCAATCTTTTCTCATGTCTGAAGAGAGAGCCTCTACAGATTATCCTCATGCACTGCTTCTCTCAGGATGATCTGTGCATCTACAACAGTGTCGGCACTGGCTTCATAATGCAGCACTTAATGCCATACATCCCTTGCTTTCTCAAATCTTAAGGCGATCACTAACAAATCCCTGGTAGGCTTGTGGACAGATTTCACACCTTCTTCTCCTGCTGGGGGTGCTTAGTGGCCTTGGCGCTGGGCTTGGCTTGGCACACTAGATCCCTGTAGGCTGGGGAGCGGAGGAAGCGAGGGTAGCAGTCTTTGGCCATGAGCATGTAGATCTTATGCTGTGCCAGGTCGAAGCAAGAAGATGAGGGGGTCTGCATGTTGGCTTTGGTGATGTCACGGGTTTCATGGTCAATATTAATCTGTAAAAAGAAACAGATATAAAATATTAGTATGAGTTTCATTTGTTTCTGTTTTAAATAGGATAGTAGATACAAGCTAAGCCTCCTTTTTTTTTTTTTTGGTTTTGAGATGTGGTATTTTCTTACCTCCCGGGGAGCTTCACTGCCAATGAATTCATCATAGATCTTCCGAGCTTTAGCGGGTAGTTTAGCAGGACACTTGGTATTCCTGTAATCCTCACAGGCAAAGTAGAACGCAACGTTCTCCTCGCTGAACTCAGAGACCAGGAAGGTTGTGAAGGCACACAGTCCATCTGAGGAAAGAGAGGAAATTTGATTACTTATTGTACATAATGACCCGCAGGGGCTGCACGGGTGAGTGTGTGTATGTGTATGTGGGCAGTTCAGTTTATTGGCATTTGAATTCACTTTTTTGATGCCAAAATGCATTTAAAAAATCAAAATCCTAAAGGTTTACTTACATTTGCTGGACAGGAGTTTTTCAAAAGATTCTTTCCACCTAAGGCATTCCTCCAGGTTTGGCCTGAAAACAGATAAGGAACAATTAGATTGAACCTAGAATGTTATAAAGCAAACAGAGACAGCATTTGTACACTGTAGTTATATATTCTAAGAGTGATGCTTACTTATTTTTCCCTATTTTGCAACAGGATACACTCCAGTTGGGTTTTTGCAAAAAGCTTCCCAGCCTTGCTTTCAGCTCCTTTGCCCTAAAAGAAAAAGACAACAGGTTAGATACATTTAGCAAGACCTTGTTTGTATCCCCACAGACAAGCCATCAGTGAAATTAAGCACTGAATAAATCCACACTGACTGCAAAGTCTAGATTTTACATAACCTAAAACTGACACGGCTTAAGCTCAAATCCTCACACACGCAGATGCACAATGATAAAGCAGCAGAGCCGTCTTCATCACATAATCCAAAATCCCCAAACATCTGTAGTGTGAGTGAGTGCATAAAGCTTCATGTACCTCTCCAAGCAGGTAGGCAGTGATGCTAGTCCTTTACACATAGCAGCAGGTTGGTGTTGGTATAAGGTGGTGTCTCGGTCAGGTGGTGCTTTTATATCCGTTTGGTGAAGCTCAGTAGAGAGCGAGATTGTCTGCGTCTGAACGGAGCTCGAATAGAGGTTTTATAGTCCTACCTCCTCTCCCTCGGATGTGTCATCAGCCCTCTCAGCCAATCACAGTGAGGTAGAGAGAGGGGGGACAGAGAGAGAGAGAGAGAGAGAGCGAGAGAGAGAGAGAGGATGACAAATGATGAAGTCAGAAAATGGGGAATATATGCAAGGACGAGGCTGGGAAAAACCCAAACATAGTGAATCTTTCAGCGTTGTGTTTTCACCCTTCTCTTTCAAAACAGCTTGTTTACATTCATCCCTGAGTACATAGTAAACATCTATCTAGTGCATATATGAGAAATCACTATATATAAATTAAGTATTTGGGGAAGTCATCTTTTACCTATTCTGAACTGGTATTACTCTCAAAATGTCCTTAAATCTTTCAGCTTGTCGTGGTTTCTCACAGTTCTGTCAAAGTCCTGAATGTGCTCCTCAGTGACACATTTGTCTTTTAATATAATGTATTTGTCATAAGTGTTTTTTGATCAACATGTTTTTGTACAATGTTTTGCTCGTGTTTAGTTTCCCCTGTGTGATATGACAAAAGACTGAGATCTGCAGAAAGCCTGACAGATCCAGTTCGACCAACCAATTGTTATACAGGCTTAAATGATATTCACGTTGCCTTGATTAATTTATCACCAAACATAACACTGCCAGAAGGTGGAGTATTAAAACTGCAATGGTGTGTGAACTTCCTGCACTAAACTTATCCTACTTGAGAGGAGCTGAGAACTACTTACAAGCATCTACTCATTTTGCAAAACAGGCAGCAATCCATACAAATAAACCACCTTTATGATGAGTGAAAATGATTAAGAGCTACTTGTATGAAGCAGAAATGAATGACTGCCGTAAATATTGACAGACGTATGACTTAACTCTACTGTATTACAGGCTTTCAGATGAGACATGATGGGGAATAAAGCAAGCTAAATGCTTTATAGTGATATCAAGCACAGACCATAGATATTCAGGTGGTTTTGTCTGGGCTTAACTAAACAATAAAAAGCAAGTGCGACTGGTCCTTTTAAACATCCTGTACTGTTAAATTGCTTCTTGACAGCTCCTTTGTGTTTACCACTAGAGGCCCATGAAGCAGGAATGAAAACCAATCACACTTAGGCTCTTTATGGGCCTGATAAAGGTGATCATCCCAGGGACTGATGGGAAGGAAACGCAGCATTCACACTGTTTAATTATATTACTGTAAGCAGGCAGGTTTCACAGCTGGACACAATAAAGCTGAAGCATAGCTGTTTCCCATATGGTGAGCTGCAAGTTGCTTATCTAGGATTTGTTTGTCATATAATTCAGATTAAAAGGAGAGTAGATAATCCATGGCAGTACGTGACTGAAGAATGATGAGGAATGACACATAACTCCTTTAGTGTGGCCTTCAGTGGGAATGTTTGTTGATTAAAGTAACCTTTCATAATAATATCTATTTTTTTATTGGTTGCAGTAGAGTTGAAATTAAAAGAAAAAAGCGTGGCCCAGTGCCGCAGGAACTGGTGTTTGAATCAGAACTTTAAAAGACCTCCAACCTCTGTTTCTGAAATGACAGTGGAAACACTGTATTGCACCAGTTACGTAAGGTTATTGCCATAGGCGTTTCGAGGAATTTCGGGCCAACAGGGCTGTGTGACAAATGAAATAAGCTCTTCTAATGGGACTTTAACACCAGTTCCACAGGAAATAAGCTCTTAGTCAAATGTCACTGGTTTTATGAAGAAATCATGATATAAAATTGTTGTTTAACGTCACTTCCTAAAAGGCAGACAGACTCACCAGGGCAGGTTTTGAAACCACTTTAGATAAAACTGATTGCGCAAAGATGGATATTCAGTTGCCAGGACAGTGTTTTATTGTACAACAAGGAGCAATTACTTGTTTAAGTGCATTTTGATTGAACATATTATGCTGCTACGTCTACATGCTCTTAAAAACCGATAGCAATCCCGATATATTGTCACGCAATACCATGAATTAACCAGACAATTTAAGGGTAAGCCATGACAAGGCCTACATTTTGTGTTACTGCAAAGGACAATTGAAATCAATAATGAACTAGTTTTTCTCTCATTACCTTGCCACTGCTCAACCTTGTCTGTGACTCTGGGCCTTAAACTCATTGGATCATGGCAACAACAAAAACAAAAACAGCCTAAATAAGTTTCTGAAACTTTTTTTTTTTTTTGAGTTTTTGAGTAAACTTTACTCAAACAGAAGGAAATTGCATTTTCATTGCAGTCTACTTTGAGTGGTGGATTAGTACACACCTGTGCACCAGTTAGTACTTTCCCTGGGAACTATTTCATGTAACAACCACAGACTGGCAATAAAGACGGACAAACTCTCCCTGACACCATGTTTGCTGAAGGGCAGTTCTGAGGTGGTTCCAGCCATTGCTATCTTGGTAGTTCCTGACTCCTCCTAACTTCTGGGAAATCTATGATTGAGCAAAGGGTTGGAGTGTAAGTGGAATTGAGACAAGCCACAGTCCGTTCTATGACTCAAAGTGCCCATACCATTAATTATGCACAACTTTGAACGTTAATACAAATTAAACAGGTGAGTTATATAAAAGTTCACCCCCATACAGTTTTCACAAAAAGGGAAATTAGCTATAGAGACCAAAACAATTTTTTAACCAGGCTGTAAATATGCTTCATTTCTGCTGTAAAGTCAGCTTCAAGTGGCGATTTGACAAACTACATTTTTTTTGCCTAATATTTTCAGTACTAGAGGTTTCCACTTGTTTAGAACAGACTATAGTGTGGCTCACTGATGTGTTTCATACTTTTTGGGCAACAAACGAGCTTTCTGGAACACATGAATAAGCCATCAAACATAGACAACACAGACAATATTTCAGTAGATTTGTTAGTAGAGTAACGTCATAGTTTTTATTTTATTTTATTTTTTTGTCCTTTTTAAAAATTTTTATTTTATTTGGATTTGTTGTCTTTTAACTAGAAAGTGGGGTAAATTAGGTTTCCATGGAAAGTACATCTTTGGTCATTTCTTAAACACTTGCTTATGTGTTTTTCTGACAAGTGACCTTTTCCAGGTGAGTGAGTGAAGACTGTATCCCCTCAGACATAGATGTAGGAGAAGAGTGATGCTGTTAGATGACTGAAAAGCTCCTAGCAAGTATTGTTTTTTTTTTTTCTTCTTTTACATAGCTTATCCAGACCTTAAACACAGAGACAGAAGATCAGAAAGTACTGACATTGGTCATATTTGGTGCACTTAGACACAAGTGTCAGTTTGGCAGGCAATAGTGAAACCAATCATTATAAAATACACTTTAGAAATTTTAGTCCAAACAAAGGATATCCCCAAGCTAAAAGGAAGTCCTGCAAATGAGACTGCCTATGAGACACAAGCATTTTATCAAGACAGCTCACAGTGTACCAAGGCCAGGCAGCATTGATTAGGTTAAGTCAGGTAATATAGAGTAGTTTGGTAAGGCTGGGAGGGAAGATGACTGCACAAGGATTACCTAACCTGTTCAAATTCATTGTGCTGGGGAGGATTTAATTACACCATTTGTTGCCACCGAGCAACAATGGTTTGCCTGAAAAGCCTAGGGGAACCCGGCCACCCACTCACCTCCACATACGCTGGCACTGTGACGTCAGCACACTGCTATCAGTCCCAAGGACAAAACCGGAAATAAGGGGATGAAAGAGCTAAGGTAAAAAAAAATATATATTTTTTAAAACTAATATTGTTGTACAAGGGCCTTTCTGGGAGCTGGGAAATCACTGTCCTTGAAGCTGGCTGAATGCCTCATATATTCTATGTGTTTCAAAGCTTTTATACTGATGATTTAACACTAAAAGCTCAGAAATAGGTGAAAAAATATATTTTTGGACACACTGTCACCACTGACCATCGTGAGACATGGCATGACACTGAAGCATGTGGAAAACGCTACCAATTGGGGCCGTCCACACCGGGAGGAGTTACAGACCATGACCATTGACCACCGACCCCAACAGACAAGGGGGGAAAAGGTGAGAGTCTACTGTTTTGCTGTGTTTTCACTCTTATTACAAAGCAAGGAACTATTGTTGCTATGGTATTAACTGTGATGTTAAAATGGCTTACACCTTTTGAATATTTGAATGTATATTTTGTTAAACTAAATTCAGAATGGGCAATTTCAAAAGACAAATAATGTTTTCACTCAGTCTGTATTTGTGATGGTGAGTGTGAAGAGGCAAACTCTGGTCTTATCACATTGTCACACGCTTTATGCTTTGAAATCTTGTGTCCTGACTCACACCACACACTTAAACATTGTTCCAGACCGCATGTTGCCAAAGTACATGTAGTAGCCTACTCAAAGTTACTAGCTAACCTCAGTCACCTTGGACTCTTTTTAACCCACTTGTGTCCATAACAGAAATATCTTTGTTCACAGTAGGGGGCTTGCCTACTTATTTTACAGGAATGGTTCATAATGCCTCAAAAGTAAGTTGACTGTACGAAAAGAAAAGCTAGCCTGTATTACAATAACCCTTTTAGCATAAATCATTTGCTCTCTCACAGACTTTATTCCACTGAATCCATGCATTATCAATATGACATTTTCAGTGTCAGTGATGACCTAACAAGGTCTTTGCTACGTTAATTTAAACCCATCTGAAAATCAACCTATCCTCAGAATAAAGTTTATTACAAAATACAAATGGGTATCTATATAAAATCAGCCCACTCCATTGCTGCTGGTCCTCAGTTAACATGCAATCCTGGTTATGAGGAAATGCTTTACCATCTGATTGCTGAGAAACTCTTCTGGTGAAATGAACTCCCTATCTGAGGTCCATCATCAAGTGACGCCCTTGCACTGTTTTGCATTCTTTCATACTTGCATAGAACACTATTGCACATTATACTCATGAAAGTGAGCGGGTTGATTTATCCGTAGATTAAAAGGACCACA